AAGAAGATAATTAATTTTAAAAATTTTTAAATTATATATATATATATATATATATATATTTAAAATATATAAATTTGAAAATCTACTTATATGTAAATTTAAAATCTTGAAAATATATAAATATATAAAAATATCAAAAAAATTTACTTATATGTAAATTTGTACCTCAAAATCTTGAAAATATTGTATTTTGTTATAAATATTACCAAATACATAACTTTATTTTGGAAATAAAACATATTTTGAAAAATAAAACAGTATATAATGTGGTCGGGTCAATGCCCGGTTTGACCAAGTCATGGCCATGCCGACCTGATTTTGACCGGGTTGCTTGTTAACTAATCTGAATGACCCACTTAGACTAGATGGATCGAGTCCCGACCCAATCTGTAGGGCCGATTCGGATAAATAAAAAATAAAAAATCACTATTTGAAATTTCATGTTTTGATTCTCTTTTACATCTCCAAATTATTATATCCCAGACCTCAGTACAGAATTAATCAGTTATTCAGTACTTCATAGCACAATGTAAATTGGATTTAATAGTGCAAACCCATATAGTGAACCAAACAATTACGGCACAATTAAATCATTTATTCAAAGTTGAAACTAATTGGTTATAAGATTTATATAGGTTTTCCAAATAACAAATCACTCTAAACGCATTAAACCTTGAGATAAAGTAAGATGTAAGACTATACAATGAAGATTAAAAAAAAAAAAAAGATAATGGACATGTAAATCTTATAATCTCGACATTGAAAGGATTTTAGTATTAGTGATTTGTACTTAGGCACATGCTTTCCACCCGGGGCACTCCACTTGTACACGTGGATACTTCAACAAATTCCACGTGTAAAGCAAGGCAAACATTCATTAAACACAATAATTCAACATTAATGTTTATTCACCAATGTATGTTATGATGATATCATACTTTTCTTTTTTATATATTATAATTATTATTTAGAGTATGATACTTATTATTATTAGAGTAAGAAATTTGGGTTTAAAAATATACATATATATTGAATATATATTGAATAAGTATGATTGTCTAACTTAGTTTTGCCTAAAAACAATATTATTATTTTGTGGATTTGATTGGGTGTATTCTTTATTTTTGCATGAAGTGGTCCCCTTAAAATGCCAAATATTTTTGTCTCATTATTACTTGCTACAAAGAAAGGCTACTCATGATGGTCATAACCATAGGGGTGACATATGTATGATCACAGCATGCAACCCATGACAATTGTTGGATTGCTTTGAAAAAATATGTATGGAAAGTGATGTAATATTATCTAAGTAAATTGCACTTCAATAATTTTTTAAAATACAATAAAGTTTGTGACTTTACCAAATAAATTATAAGTTATTTTGTTATATTTGCAAACACACTCCAAGACTCCAAGTTGTAGTAGTCAATCTTGATATATATTCAGAATGCAAGTTTATTTTATAATTGACCTCAAACCTCCATACATTTTAGTAGATTATTATATTGTGTCATATTTATATAATTTGCCTATGTTGATGTAATGATGCGTTCTAATCAAAATTAGACATGCAAATGATGCAGAAGACATGTTTTCAAAATTTTATACAAAAAACCATGAGATATTTTAACAGACAAAGGCCAATGATCCTTTACTAACGTACTATATGGACACCACTGTATGAAAAACAACAAATTAATAACATATTATTAGAAGACAGAAGTGTTAATTTATTAAAGCCCCTGTTATTGTGGAATTCGATTTTGCGTCAAAATCATGTAAAAGTAATGTAGAAAATAAAGAAGATGAGTTTTCGAGGCTGAAAATTGCACTTTGAATGGTCTTACTATAAGAAAAAATGATTAAATTTCAACTGAATTGTATTGCAATTCCTATAGATGTTTCAATACTATTACTTGTTAAATAGAATTCCAATAAAAATATTACGTTAAAATTATTTTTTCGTTGAAATTTCTATTGACGATTCAAACAATAGTTTTGTCATTGAAATATGGCAACGTTCTATACGAAAATTTTTACAACAATAAAACATTCAAAAAATGGTTATTGAAATCATCAAGTTTCAACTATAATTAAAAAAATTCTAATTACACTTCGCGCGTTAGTTGAAATATCAAGTGAAACTTTCCAATGAAATCTATAACAATGAAATTACCATTAACATTTTACAACTGGACTTAATTATTATCGATTGCAATATCCATTGAAATTAATATGACAATTTTTTAACAATGTGTTCGCCGGCAAAAATCAAAACAAACGCAACTTTTGCATTTAGAGCACCCACAGGCCACAATGCTTTGGGTCTCTTTAAAAAAAATTACATGTCATATAGAAAATAGATCTAGTCTATAAAAAAAGTGTTTCACAATGCAATTAAAATTGGATCTAGTCTAGCTTATGTGACAATAAAAAAAAAGACCAATGTCTATTTTGGACCACTCTTTGGTCTATTTTGGACCCAAGTGTTTAGTTACTTTTGTTTTAATTTCTACCGACAAAAACCATTCAAACAATTCTCAACAGTTCAAAATTCCAGTAATGCTAAGGAGCCAACTGTTGGTTTCGTTATGGAGCCAACAATCAATGAGACAGGTCCATGTGGGGCTGTCCCACATGGAGCAACGGAGCCAACAGTTGGCTCCTTAGCATTATTGCTCAAAATTCAGTCTCATGAAAGTTCCCCAACATTTTTTCCCTCTCATAAATTATATAATGTGTACTTCCTTATAACCCCAAAAGGCAAAGAAACTCACATGTTTCTTTCTTTTTTTGAAGTGATGGATAATTCTGGAAAACACGGCACTTTTTTTTACCATATGTCAATGGGTGCAAGACTTTCGTGACAGTCTTGCTGTCCCAAAATTTCATCCTTAAAAAAAGCTATCTTTCGATAAGTTTCCTCACACACAAGCATGTCTTGTTTATTTGAATTGTATTACTTTTTTCTGCAAATAAAACCCTAATAATAATTAGGTATTTATTCATCGGCTGCCATTAAATAGTTCAACATGTGCCCTGGCTAAGTTAATTTGGAGGTGCGGTCACCCACTTACTAATACAAAGTTGGGCATAGATTTTTTCCAATTTTATCTTTAAGCCATTCAATCTTGTTTTATTTGTGGTGGGGCTATTTACTAAGCCATGTTCACCAATTTGATGCATACTTTTCCTTTCTTTTGGCCACGGAGTTAATGTTGCGTTTTTCGCTTATTTAATGTTCTCTTTTTGAAGTCGCTATCCTTACCGTCGCCCTAATAAATATGGCCACATATATATAACAAAAATATCAAAATTACAAATTCTTATGTGAGATAATTAAGTTGATTGTTAGGAAGGTCAATTGTTTTATGAAGAATAACAATATAATTTGAAACATGTATTTTATTGAAAAAATATGATTGTTTAAGCAGCCTTGTCGATTCAAAATATGTCGATTTTCACAAATTCGCACGAAATCCTCTTTTTCATTTTTATTTCAATCATAGTAAGTTAAATGTAATTGACAATACCATATAACTAGTACATGATTTTATAGAGTATTGAAATACAATATTAAGTTGATATATTCAAAGAATAAAATAAAATGTAAGAAAAATCAGAAGATTGTACTATTTTCATAAATTGTATTTACTAAATTAATATTGCATTTATAATTATTATGATCAATATACATATATACTACTAACTTTTTGCAATCTCCATTGGAATAAAAGAAATAAAAATAGAAGCATTGAAGAAATCTTTAATACATTAATTATCAAAGAAAAAGTTAATTTATAACACATCTTGGTAGAAAAAAAAATTAAAGAAATTAACAGCATGGTCAAAGTACCTCATGCATAATCACATAATCAGGTAACGATTTCTAATCAAGTTACAACTGTTAAAAAGATGATTAAAGATAAAGAAAAAAAGGAAATACAAATGAAGAACAACAGCTAAAAGATCCAACTTCTTTGGAACCCTAGCTAGCTAGCATAGCTCAAGCTCTCCACTTAACATTAACTCAAAATATTTTTTTTTAAAAAAAAATCAACTTTTGATTTTAGCAACATTTCCAATCAAATTAATTAAACTCCATTAGAAGATTGATGATAACTCCATGACTCCTTCAACTTGACCAGCTGCACTCTCATCCAACAACCACTTCTCAATAAACGATAGCGGCGGATTGTTATTATTATTCGCGTCATCGTTTTTTGCCTTTTCTTGATCATCAATCAAGCCATTAATGTGGCACGACGATTTTTCACGGTTATCGAAATTCAAAATTCCCTCCAAATTGTGATCATCATCACGACAGTCGAACAAATTAATATTTTCAATCTCTTCCTGGTGCTGAATAACTTTCCCGGGATCGCGATAGAATAATAATGATCCATCTCGATTTTCGTTTGGATACTTAGCATTAGCAACAACAACACTACTATTTTTGTCGACTTTATTCGACTCGGGAGGTGAAGATGACCTCGTCATCCATCCTTCTAGAAGCCTCGATATGTTGTCCGCGCTCGAGGCGTAGACTGAAGATGGGCCGTGTCCCAATTCGTTGTTGGGCCTCGACATGAACCGATGGTAGTCTGTTGTTGGGCCGCCGTGGCCCGCGTCGTTGTTGGACGACGAGACGAAATTGCCCGATTGTTGGTGGAGTTTCTTGAGCTTCTTCTTGAGGTGCGTGTTCCAATAGTTCTTGATATCGTTGTCTGTACGTTGAGGTAGGTACGTGGCTATTGCAGCCCACCTNAAAAATAATAAAATAAAATAAGTCGCTGATCGAACGTATAATCCGTGTGATCACATGATTTTATCGTCAATTTACCAAGAAAAATTACCGGAAAAATAAAATAAAATAGAATAAGGTGTTGATCGAACGTATAATGTGTACGATAGCATGAATTTATTGTCAAATTGTCAGGAAAAAATACAATGAAGATGTTTTTTTCTAGGTAATTATGTACCAAAAAATGAAAAAAAAAAAAATTGAAAAAAAAAATCATATACTTGTTGCCTAGTAAAGCTTGGAGATGGATTATCATGCCCTCTTCATGAGGGGTGAAATTGCCTCTCTTGATCCCTGGCCTTAGGTAATTGGTCCATCTAAGCCTGCAACTCTTGCTGCACCTCAACAAGCCTTCAAAAACATCCCACATAAAAACTTAATTAACACAAAGAATAAATATGAAAAAGAAAAAGGAAAAAGAAAATCATTAATTTTCAAGAACAACTTGATACATATATACAGGTCGATGTGCCTAATGATTAGACTGTCTCACACAATAATTTGTGAAAAATAATGATTGGTTTCGTGTTTATTGCACTTTCTGATAATTTTTTGCCAAAATATGATCATTCAGACAAGATTTATAAATGAACTATATATAATCGTGTCATGAACAAAAAATTAGTATCTCTGCAGCTAAAAATAAAAAATAAATACTTCATAAATATACAAATAAAAATGAATAAATATATATGTACCTGTATTTGTGGGCACAGCTCTCCAATTTCCAGGCCCATTTTCCTGAATATATGAGACTAAGATTATATCTTCCTCAGGAGTCCATGGACCTTTCTTGATTCCAATTTTGTCACAGCAAGGTGGTCTCCCCATTTTACCCCCCTTTTTCAGTTGAGTATTATTTTTTCTTTTTGGTCTTTTCGGGGTATAAGGAGGAATAAATTTACAGACAAGAAGCTGTACTTGTGTTGTGTGAAGTCTTGTGGGCAAATGGTGGGTGTGGTATATATATATCAATGATTTAGAAAAAGGGGCCAAAGGGAAAAAGAAAACAAAAATGGGGGCTGTCTTGTTATTGTTNATCGATTCGTATTATTTTTTAAAAATTAAAAAGAAAAATGTGTGCTTATGTTGGAAAATGACCTTTTGTTATGTTGATTTATAGAGTATGATATTTTATTTTGAAAGTACGTTTATTTATTTCAAAAAAAAAAAAATATGTGATTGTATATATTGTACATAGGAAGTAAGCATAATGAAAAATTTTGCGTTAAAAAAAATATATATTTTTTTTTATAAGTGTAGGGGTCCCTAATTAATTTATAACATTTTTTTTTACCAAATTTCTCTAATATCTTCTCAATATGTTCTCAATTCTTGAATTCTTAAAACTACTAGGGATAAAGTTATAACAATTTTTTTTTTAAAATAAACTGATAATAAATTTGCAACAACACTAAACCTTTAGAACATATTAAAAAAGCTACTTCTACCCAATTTTTTTATGAGGCAGACCCAATTGTTTGATAAATATTTTCATAACAAATATGTATATTTTCATATATATTTGGCATACTTTGAAAAACAACATAAAAAAAAATATAACATGTCTCTGTATAAGTACGCATTTTTTTCAAAAGAACATACCAAGTCGACTATTAAACCGATTCACAGACGAAAAACGTGCATTTGTTTATGAAAAAAATATCATGAATGAAAAAGCCCTAAGAATTTCCATTTTTCAACTCTTTTTTTTTTCATTTTAGGATCACGTGGTTGCACAGATTATTGATCCTTAATTTTTATGTTGACCTGTGATAACTTCTTCCATGTGCTGTTAATTTTCTGCTGACTGGATTATTATTGTTATGTGACTTATGTCCATAATTGATGGGCATTAACTTTTTTTTTTCCCCCCAGCTGTGGTGGTGTGGTGTACACCGTGTTAATATGATTGTACGGTGTTACCTTTTTTGTGATTTTTGGGTCAGGGCCCCCAGCCCAACAGACCATAGACCAAAAATGGGAATCGGCGCGCAATATTTGTCCCTATTGCCCTACTTTTGACTATACCTATTTCTTATGGCTTTAATGTTGGTTGGTGAAGATTGGAGGTCAAATGAAGCCCAGTACGGTTTTGGGCCGGCCCAAAGAAAGAGCTACATATTGCGGGCCTTTGTTGGTAAAATCATTAAGCGAAACAAGATGTTTATGACTTCGGGTTGGGTCGACTCGGCTCGACTTGTTTGAAATTAGCTCAATTCGAACTCGTTAAGAGTCAACTTTTAATATTGATAGGCGGGCTGAACTCTAACTCCTTTATTGGCTCGTTTAATTAATTATACCAAACTTAACCCGTCTTGTTTTCGTTTATACTCTAATAAGACCTAGGAAAATACATCATTTAAGGAAAACCACAATTCACATAAGGAATTGTATCTTGAGAAGCTTTATTCATTTTATTTAATCTTTTTATTACATCCGATGACTTCATAGAATTTTTGTACATCCAAACTGAATCATAAATCACAAATCTTTATATGAAGCAACTTAATTGTTAGCATATTTCTTTTTGTATACATTTTTTTTTTAAATACATACTTGTTTATAGAATGACATGTTTTTGTTTGTATTATTTATTAAGAGTATAATAATCTAGTTAAAAATTGATCCCTATGTAACCATTGTCATAAACTTGACACTATTAGGTTGATGAACACTAACCCATATTTTTGTGCATGTTTATGCAAGTTAGTGATATGTCTAAAATTGACCAATACATATATACAGTCATATTATAGAAACAAAAATAGAAACATTAAAAAAATTTCTTGCATCATCCACATATGGATCAGAAAGCATATACATGATATTTTCAAGTTGTCTAACCAAAATACATTTAGAAAGGCGTAATTACGAAAATTTCCTTTTATTTTTAGGTAATTGCAAAAACTAACCTCAAAACTCGTATCTGCCTCTACTCATCTATTGCCCAGAAGAAAGATGCAAATAAGGGAAGTGACAAATTAAAAAAAGTTCTAATAAACAAAAGTTCCATCTTGTTTTCGCGAAAAAAGTGAACATCTTTCTGATATTTGTTGCATCAAATCTCCACTTTGGTCCTCACTTTCTCGCATGGCTGACAAGAACGAAGATCCATCAGTCGAACAAACCCACCAATCTCTACCCGTAAGCTTCAATTGATTTTCCTTAAAATCCTCGTCTTTAATTATGTTGAACTCTGATTTCTGAATAAATTCATCTCAGGGATTATTGTTGTATAGTCCCAGTTGAAATTAAGTGTACCCCTTTTTAAAATTTTTGAACTTTATCCAGTTTCTCGAGGTGTTGTGCAAGACTTCTGGGAAAATCAGGCGTTTTTCGATCGGAACTGAAGCGGGTTTTGCTGTTAATTTGATAAACAAGAAGTTGATGTATGATAGCGATGGTGTTGAGAATGTTGTACTGGCATCCCACATCGAGGCTGTTAAAGAAGGAAGAGTAGATGAAGAGCCTGTTAGCTTTGGCCACAGTTCTATGCTAGTCGATTATGGACCCGATTGGAAGTTGCGAACTGCCCTTGAATCGCAAGGTGAATTGAACTTCGTAATTTTAGTGTTTAAGAATCTCTGATTACTATAATGTGTTTTTTGGTCCCTTATGTGCTTGTCTTGCATTTGAAGCAAACCCCTTTAGATTATGTGGGTTCGTAAAGAGATTTGGGATGAATTTTTCTTGTTCTTGGTATTTTGTTTGCCGATGTTCATTTTTGTTGTCTATAAATGACGAATGATTAACTTTATTTTTATGTTTTGCAGACCACATGGGCACAAGAAGAGTGCGGAAAGCTTCTGCTAAGGTATGGCGATTGCCCTTTTTTATGTTTTGCATTTGATATAAAATGAAATAATGCTTAGGTAGGGAATATATGCCTGAAAATAGAGCGGGAAAAAAAAACATATGGAATGGTTTAAGCTATCTGATTTGAAATGGAATGTTGTTTTTCGATGAATATGTTAAGAGTCTTGTCACGAGAAAGAAAGCTGGTCGAAAATCGAGTTTTATATGGAGTGGTTTATGACAATTTAGGTTGTGTTTGATAAGCATACAAACTAGCTTATAGTTTATTTGATTAGCTTGTAAGCTTACTATATTCAAATAAGTTTGGTTTGGTAGGACGAGCCTTTTTAAAAAGCTCAAGCTTTTCTCTTAAGCTTCCTTGGGTAGCTTTTCAAATAATTAGCCCATTGAAGTTTTTATTTCAGCTAGCTTATGAGCTAATTTTATCAAATACTTTTATCATATAAGCTAGCTTTTTAGCAATAAGACATAAGCTATAAGCTATAAGCTTGAAATTCACTAAAAAGCTGTAAGTTAGTTAGCTTATCAGTTAGTTTTACCAAACAAACATAGTCTTAAACTGATCCGATGTTTGTGTCTAGAGATTTCATAGAGTTTGTATGTAATGAAATCTTGATACAACCTACAATTTAGCTCGTGTTTAGTTGTCGTGAAGAAGTGTGATCCTCTTTTTCCCATTAGGGACGATGTTATGACAATAAGGTATAAGCTACACATCGTAATAGTATTCTTATTTCACATTTTTTAACATGCTCTCTTTTATTTTCCTTTGATTGATGAAATATTGAACTCTCTTATATATTTCTAGCCTTATAGGACATGCAATCTGACAGTAGTCGATATTTTTGAATTAATATCGGTGCACAAAGTTTTTCCCTTTAAGGAAATGGTCCCCTGTTTATTTTGTTATTGCAAACTTGTTCTGTGTTGCCACTAGTGTCATTCTTGGCGTAATTGACAATCCATATAAGCTATGACTTATATGATATCTCATATGAAAATATATTTTGGTAAAAGCTATTTTTGGCTTCTTTTTCAGTGGGAAAAAAAAATGGAAAAACTCCGCAAAATCAAATGAATTCTATTATTCACTCTTTAAAAAGGAATCTCAAAATTGGCAATTGTCATAAGCGGCTAATATGCATTTTTTTTTTTGTCTCTAAATCCACCATCTACTCGTCTCATTTTTTTTTTTAATGAAAACTCACCAAATGACACGAACACTGCAAAATTCCTCTCTTTCTTTCAAGTTTTCACAATGAATCCTTAGATCGACTAAAATCCCAACCAAAACTCGCATCTCTCAACGTCTGACTGGGCTCGGCGAGTCCAAACTTAGCAACGAAGCTATACTAAAATGGATGTCTCTCATACCCAGAACTCCCAAGAATGAACCTTCCCAAAAAATTCTATATAGTTATTGACTGTAATTGTGATATGATGGGATATTAAAGCTTTTTCTATGAATGAATTTTAACAAGACAGTGTTTATTTGTCGTTTACTCTTTTGTATTTTGATAGTGTATGATGGGAATATGAGAAAAATCTCACTCTTTGTCCCATAAGATTGAAAAGCCTTTTTTTGCGCTACAAATAACTTCTGTGGAATCCCACTAAGAATTTTCTTTTTCACTTTCCTTCGCACAAGATTTTTGCGTCCTTTCAGTCATGTCCCGTTATTTTAGAATTTCCTAAGTAAAGGTATTCTAATGTTTACGATGATTTTTTTTGCAGGCTACCAATGATCATCGTTCAGTGACGAAAAAAGAGTCGGCTATCAGCATTCTCTACATTGGGAAGATATTGCTTGCATTTCTTCTGATATTTGTAATCGGTGCAATTTTCACGTTGGCTCTAGAAAATCTTCCTCGGTTCATCTTGTTTATCAACTCCTCGGTGTAATACTCGGCACATGAAACTCGTGGCTATCTTTTTCATGTTTGCTGAATACAGGCACTGTCAATAGCTTTACTTAGGATGTGATTGGATATGTATTTGATTGGTTTTTTTTTTTTAATTGTACTTCATTTTGAAAAAAAAAAATAGTATGATTAGTTGTTGGTGGGAATTTAAGTTTAAATGAAATAATATTTAAAATAAAATAATTAAAGCTGGTTTGATGTAAAAGTAAGAGAAAAATGATTGGAAGTGATGATTAGTTAAAATTATGTGAGTGGATGAATAATGAAATAAATTTTATGTGATGTGTAGAATGATCGGTTGATATTATTTAATTATATTGATAATATTGAGAATAGTGAGATTGGAGTTAAAACTGAGTTAAATTTGAGTTTTGATTGTTTTTTTATTGGTTAAGGTTATATCCAATCACACCCTTAATGACTCAAGTTGTTCACATCAATGTGAACTATGGCTTGGATGTTCATACTTTACAGAGAGTTCATGATGTAATCCAAAACTTTGCGGATGATATTTCATAGCATAAGTAAGTATTTTATTTAGAAAAGTATGATGAGTCCAATCACATTATGGTCAGGTTGTCTCATACAAGATTTGCGTTTTCTTAACAATGTGCAAAATGGAACGAACTGTCTCATACAATATAACACAAATGGTGCTGTTAGGCTACCTAACCGTTAGACAACCATATTTTTTTTCTCATAAAATACATACTCATATTATAAACTGTCATACTTTTATTTAATTTGCAATTTATAATATGATATTGGAATGTTAAAGTATGTATAAAAGTACAATTGTCTAATCATTAGGCAGTCTAACAGAAAACCTGCTAGTGAGTAGAGAGGTAATTTTAGGTTTTGAATAATTTGAAAAGTATAACAAAATTAATATAACAATTTATTAAATCTCATATTTAGTGGAAATTTGAACAAAAAAAAATAATGTGAATAATAAGACTAACATCCCTATAATTTTCACCAATAATGAGGGAGAAAACAAGAAGTATATAAAGACCAAAAAGAAACCATTTTTACTAAAACTCCTCACTCTTACCTTAAACCCTTCCGCCAATGGCGTCGTTCACAGCTCCGTCTCATTCCTCCCATCTTATCTCGTCGCAGGCCACGCGCCGCCGCCGTCCCTCTGCAAACGCCGTCGTTTCACACGCATCCTCGCCTGTCAAATGTAGTCTCCCACCCCCTGCCTCCGCTTTCTCCTCCCAAAACCGTAAACCCTCGAAATTTCCCACACTTCCTCTCAACTCCGCAATTTCTCTCAAATCTATCGCCGCCTCCGCCGCCTCGTGCGTTCTTTTCCACGTAGCCAAACCTGACTTCTCCGGCAGCAACTCCATCTTTGGCTCCACCGGCGGCGGAGGAGGGGGCGGCGGCGGCGGCGGCGGTGGAGGAGGAGGAGGTAATGGTGGAGACGGCGGAGGTGGTTTCTGGCGGCGGTTTTTCTCGCCGGAGGCTGTTGCGAAGGACGACGACCCTCAACAAGAGTGGGATTCCCATGGATTGCCGGCCAATATAGTGGTTCAGCTGCGCAAACTCAGCGGATTCAAGAAGTATAAGGTTTCAGATATCCTATTCCTCGATCGCCGGGAGGGCTCGACTGTCGGTACTGAAGATCCTTTCTTCGAGATGGTGTCCCTTCAACCGGGAGGAACCTACACCAAAGCACAGCTCCAGAAGGAGATAGAATCCCTAGCAACTTGCGGAATGTTCGAACAAGTTGATCTCGAGGCAAAGACAAATCCAGATGGCACCATCAATATAACCATTCCATTCCTCGAGTCCACTTGGCAGGGGGCCAGTAGATTCAGGTGTGTTAACGTTGGGCTCATGCCGCAGCCGAAGCCTATTGAGATGGACCCAAATTTGACAGAGCGTGAGCAAATGGATTTCTTCATGAAGCAGCAGAACGAGTACATGGTCAGGATTCAGAAGGCAAGGCCTTGTTTGCTTCCATGGTCTGTGCAATCTGAGATAGAGCAGATGTTGGCGAATAATCTCAAGTTGACCGCGAGATTGTTGCAGAAGATAAGGGATAAAGTCCAGCAGTGGTATCAAGAAAACGGGTATGCCTGTGCACAAGTTGTGAATTTCGGGAATTTGAATACGAGAGAGGTTGTGTGTGAAGTGGTGGAAGGTGATATCACACAGCTAGTGGTTCAGTTCCATGATAAGCTTGGGAATGTTTGCGAGGGGAATACTCAGTTGCCTGTGATAAAGAGAGAATTGCCCAAGCAGGTTAATTAAATTTGACTGGAACTTTGAGGAGTCACTAGTTATATTTATGAAATGGATTTCAGGATTGGTGTTGTGTTAATGATTGTTAGATTGTCTTATGAAGTAACCAGAATGGTAGCAGATCATTGATTTAGTGATTCTCCTTCAGGACCTAAGTGTTCATCATAATCATATATATGTAGTCTGTATAATATTGCGACTAGTTATTAACTGTTGATGTAATAAAATAATGCCTCTACATGGGATAATTAATATTCAGCATGAACATGCCCTTTTTTTTTGTTTTTTCAAAAACAAGTTTGCTTTTTTGGGTTACTTTGAAGCCCATAAATTTGATTACCTGGTCAGTTGGTCATTATATATATACCGGTCACTTTGTTTTTTGTAATGTTTATGTGTGTGATTGAATTTATTTACTGTTATTTAAGGGTTGGTATAATTTTTGTCATTGCGTACAGCTTCGCCAAGGACGAGTCTTCAATATGGAGGATGGGAGGAAAGCACTAAGGAATATAAATTCTTTAGCTCTCTTCTCCAACATTGAGGTAAACCCTCGCCAAGATGAGCAGAATGAGGGAGGTATTATTGTCGAAGTCAAGCTTAAAGAATTGGAGCAAAAGTCTGCTGAAGTTAATACAGATTGGAGTATTGTTCCAGGTCGAGGAGGCCGTCCAACACTGGTGAATAACATGAGCAGTTATATATATATATATATATATATATATATATATATATTTTAATACGGTCACTAAGTGTTATTTACTCGTTAAATCACTGCTCAGGCTTCGATCCAACCAGGTGGGACTGTTTCTTTTGAGCATCGTAATATTAACGGTTTGAATAGGTCACTTCTTGGTTCAATGACTACTAGCAACTTCCTTAACCCACAGGTGATTACTTTTTATTCAAGCTTCTTTTTCCAGAATGACGTGCACATTTTTTTGTGTAGCATTTAACATATGTCTGCAATATCTATATATAGGATGACCTTTCTTTCAAGATGGAATATGTCCATCCATATGTAGATGGAGTATACAATCCTCGCAACCGTACTTTTCGTGTTAGTTGCTTTAATAGTAGAAAGCTGAGCCCAGTCTTCACTGGTGGACCTGGAATAGAAGAAGTTCCTCCTATATGGGTTGACCGAGCTGGAGTTAAAGCCAACATTATGGAGGTATGGGTTTTCTTCTTGATCTTTTTGTATTTTTACTGATATATTCTATCATATACATGTTACCATCCAAAACAGGCTAAAGATTAGGTGGATTATGAATTTCTATGTATACTGACCTGAGTATGTCGAAGATTGAACTCAAATGCCTTACAATATTAACTGATGAAACACATGAGTCTATAGGACGGCGATTCGTCCGGCGATGCTATACGGTGCTGAATGTTGGCCTACAAAAAGGCAACATGTCCAACAACTAAGTGTAGCAGAGATGCGTATGTTGCGTTGGTTCTGCAGGCACACAAGAAGGGATAGAATCCGGAATGAGGATATTCGTTATTCGAGATAGGGTCGGGGTGGCTCCAATTGAGGAGAAATTGGTTCAACATCGGCTGAGGTGGTTCGGACATGTCCAACGGAGGCCTCCTGATGATGCACCGGTACGTAGGGGAGTTCTACAGCGGGTCGAGCGGGTCGAGGATGTTAAGAGAGGTAGAGGTCGGCCTAAACTCACTTGGGAAGAGTCGGTTAAGAGAGACCTTAAAGATTGGAATATCTCCAAGGATTTAGCGGTGGATAGGAGCGCTTGGAGGCTCGCTATCAACGTGCCAGAACCGTGACTTTTGCTCCTTCCTCTCTCTCTCTCTCGTTGTTTTTTTTTTTTTATTATTATTCTTTTTGGTCCGAGTCTTTTTTGTGTTTCTCTTGGGTTTCAGCCTACCCCGACTTGCTTGAGACTAAAGGCTATGTTGTTGTTGTTGTTGTTGTTCTTGCAGAATTTCACGCATCAAAGCAAATTTTACTGATCTTGTTGTATTTTACTGATATATTTTATCATTCCTGCTATATGGATCCAAAACAGGCTAAAAAATTAGGTGGATTGTGAATTGCTATTTATACTGACCTGAATATGTCGAAGATTGAACTCAAATGCCTTACCAATTGATATTAAGTGATGTTCTTGCAGAGTTTCACGCGTCAAAGCAAATTTACGTATGGAGTTGTGATGGAGGAGATAACGACACGTGATGAGAGCAGCCACATCTCTGCAAATGGTCAAAGGGTGCTGCCAAGTGGTGGAGTGAGTGCAGATGGACCTCCCACAACACTCAGTGGCACGGGAGTTGACCGAATGGCATTTCTACAGGCTAATATCACTCGTGACAACACCAAATTTGTAAATGGAGCTATAGTTGGCGAGAGAAATGTGTTCCAGGTGAGAAGCATCAGTTTCTATTAGGGTGTTTTTGTTTATCAATTATTTCAACTCATACTCAATTCATACTCAAAATCTAACTCAACTCTAAACCAACTTCACTATCCTCAATATTATATATAAAAAAAAAAATAGTACCAATAAATAGTACCAAATAATTTTAAGTTTTTAACTAACCATCATTTCACATCACCTTTATATACTTTTACATCAAATTAACTTTAATTATCTTATTTTAAATATTATTATAATATAAACTCAAAATCTCACTAACAACTAACNTGGTAAAGATGTGTTAGGCATACATGTAACATATCCACGCTTTTTATGAGCTGAATGGATTATCTGAGATTGGTGAAACTGCATGAATACTTTTCCTGTCAATTCACCCAAGTTCCTGTGTCATCGTTTGAAACCTAGCTAGCGGAATTTGAATGTTAATATGACATAAGTTTGTGAGAGCCTGTAACTCAAATTTTCAGAAGTTCCCTTACTGTGCTGATATCCCATCACAATTTCATGACAAAGCTGAAGTTTCCCACC